AAGATTGAGAGCAGCCACGTGTGCACGGACATCACGACTCGTGAGGACTGTACACCCTCACGTGGCCGTGAATATCCGCATGGCCTGCAGTCTCTCTTGTGATTCGAGAAACTGACACAGAGCAGTTCTCATGCAGGGCTGTTCTATTTGACTCAGCAAGCTGGCATGCATGTTTGCCACGTCATGTGCTTCTAATGCCTCGCTCACCTATACGGTCAAGAGGGGGAGACAGAGAAGCCAACACAGGCAAGCAAACCCACCATCAGTGACCGTATAGACAAGAAAAAGAGCGTAAAAGGCCCACACGAAAGGCGCCGAGAAAAGGTAAGCAATAGAAATAAAGGCGCTATCGACCGTCAGGTAAGTAGCTGATGTCTGTGACAGCAGAGCGACCTAAGAATGGTCAGCTCAGGCTGCAGACACGTCAGCACCATGGTCTTCAGGATATTTGCGTGGCGCTTCGTCACAAGCCCTGAAGCCAACAACAGAAACAAACACAATTGACACATGCTTACGTGTGTGTGTGTGTATGTGTATCTTCTGCCGCAGCCGAGTCTGGACCTAGAGAAGGACAGACAGGCAGGGAAAGGCAGACAGATAAGGCAGACAGCCAGCCAGAACAATGAAAGGCACACTTACATGTTCATGATGTGCATGCGAGTGCCGTGCCAAGCCGCGTGGTGATGCGGAGGTGGTAGCAAGAGCACAAGATGCCTCCCATCTCTCCAAGCGTCATCCGCATGGCTTGACGAGTTGCTGTGAGCTGACAAACAGCCGAAAAAGCACCTCGTCTGTTTCTTTCTCGATGATCTCGCTGACCGCCAACACCTCACGATGAGCGCTCGACAGCAACGACAAGCAAAAGCTGACGAGCGAGAGAGGGAGTTAGAGCGGAGACCGAGTTACACGGGCGAGATCTACGAGACATGAAGAGCGGAGACCGAGTTACACGGGCGAGATCTACGAGACATGAATTGCGATGGATGTGGACCCAAGCTTGCGTGTCCATGAGACCTCCGTCGCCACTGAATGCTTCTTTCGGCTTCGTCACATTCCTACTCGCTACCCCGAGCTACTGCTGATACTCCAACTTTCGGATGTTCTCAAATTTTAGAGCTCGCACAGAGGGAGACAATGGATTTTACCGACTGCATGAGAAGAAAGGCTGCACAGGACACCAGTGGAGTATCTACCTGCCTTGCAATGTGTGGTATTCTCCTTCAGCTGAGCGGACATCGGAGGACTGCACTGCCCTGGTGTACTGCGTGCATGTGATGCAGTGATGCCCATGCACACTCGCCAATGTCATTGTGTACATACAGTACATGTATTGAGTGAACATCGACCGAAGCAGATCGACTTATTTGCTTGGATGCATCGTGGCAATGAGAAGAAGAGGCGACGACGTTTGGGATGTGATCGACAGAGGCTTTAAGCTGCTGCTGCTGAACGCTGCCCACGTCCAGGTGAGACAGGACCAGCGGCAGCAGCGGCAGCAGCACAGAATGACGCTCCTCCCGAGGCGATTGATTCATTGTTTCTCTCTGTCTGTTTCTCTATCTGTCTGTCTGTCTGTCTGTTTGTTTGTCTGTTTGTCTGTCTCCCCATCCGTGGATCATGCTTGCAGGAGCTTGGTTCGGAGCTCGACAGTAGCGACGATGACAAGGACAGCAACACCAACACGAGCCACGCCCAGCCAAAGAAACGCGGCCGCCCGCCCAAGAGTGTCGCCGGCCGCAGCAACCACCAGCAGCAGCACAACAGGATGACGCTGCAGGAGTTCTTGTCGTCGTTGCCCGAGGATCAAGTGCAGACAGCCATCGCCAAACTCTTCGAGCAAGACACCGAGGGCGAGGTTACCTAAACACACACTCCCACACTCGTGGAGACGGGGGAAGGGCTCACACGAGAGTGTGTGTGGTCATGGTGGGATGTGTGTGTCAATCAGATGCCGGCGTACCAAGCTGGCTCGACGTTGGAGTTGGGGCGAGCGGAGCTCGGCGTGCTCAAGTTCATAGCAAACAGATCGCTGCTGGCGCCTGGTATTTCATATACACCACAGAGACACAGGGGTGGGTCGTTGTTTCTGTGTGTGTGTATGTGTGCAGAGTGTACGAAGGTGACGTGGCCACCCAAGAAGGAAGAAATCGCATCGTGTGCGGCACAACTGTACGCAACCACCCACGCACACACACACACAACACACGCACAGACGTACACGTGCAACGCCATCCACTCACTGCTCCCCTCTCCCCGTCTGTGTCTCTGTGTTTGTGCAGGGGGCTGTGGGTGGTCGCCTGCCGTCTGAGTGAGATGTACGTGTCCGACACACCCGACTGGCTCGTCAACGCAGCACGCACCTACTACAAGAGGCGCCGCACCGCTGACAGCATCAACAGCTGTGGGGAGGAAGGGGAGGGAGAGGGGGAATTGCAGCCACAGCCAAAGCCACACGCCATGCACGACCCGAGCCACATCCAGTCCCGCCGCCAGCAAACCCAACAGTTCATGGTGGAGATCAGGAGGCGGGAGACGGCCATGCGTCAGATGGGCGCCGTGTCGGCCAGTGCCGTCCATGACCTGCTCGCGCTGTCATCCCACCTCCTGCACCACTACAGCGACGTCCTCCCGCCTGACGAGCGGGACCATTTGGATTCCTTCGTCAGTGCCCTCAGCCAGTCGAGCAGCCACGCCGCCGCGTCGCGCCCGCCCAACCACACACACCACCAGACACACACACCCGCCCCCCGTGCTCACGCCACCACCAGCAGCAGCACCACCAGCAGAAACAGAAACAGAGACAGAGAGGCGCGCAAGAGGCGGAGGGCGTCAGTCAGGTGAGTCAGTGTGCGTGTGCGCGTGCGTGTGTGCAGCACACATGGACTAGCTGACAACATAACATTCGTCCATCATGCGGTGGCCGGATGGATGGAGACATGGACATTGGATGGATGGTGATGGTTCGTGTGTATCGAATGCCACAAGCTTCATGTGAATGTTGATCGCAAGTCGAACGGACATGAAAGTGAATGCCGCACTCATGGTCAGTGGAAGCCTCCCACATACGTTCACACATACATACATACAGACAAATGAAGAGATCTAGGCCTGCAAAAGGTCATCGGCAAAAGGGCATTGGCACGCAGCTAGCCAAGATCAACAACCAGTCACTTGACGTGCACAGCACACACGAACACACAGTACTAGCACTCGACGCTCGTCAAGGCTCTGGTGGGCTTCTATTAGAAATGCTCAGCGAGTCGATGTCGTTAACTGCGGCTGTTAATACTCTCCTGTGACTGCGTCTTTGAAGTGGCTGTGTGTTGGCTTGGTTTTCTGAGCGGATGGCCTGGTTGTCGATAGTGGGTGAGAGTGGGACTGTCTGATGTCGATATGGCTGCTTGATCATCGACAGCTGCGTAAATGCACGAGCACCCCGTTCGTTGTCTGTCTGCTCGAACCAATACACACACACAGCCCAAAGCGCATCGACGATACACAGCCTATGAACAAAGTTACGGAAAATAAAATCAGCAGCGCACGGACATGCACACACCATCGACTCACGGCTGTCGATCGATCAAGGAACACACAAAAAATGCATTGCAGTCTGGGAAATCACACGCAGAGACAGAAACCACAGACACTCATTAGCCTCTTCCACACACCAAGAGAGAGGAGTGGGATCACACACAAGGCACAGCACAGCACAGCACAGCACAGGAAAGCACCGAACATACGATAAAATATAATACACACGATGTGTCTGTCTGTCTGCTCTGCTGTTCCCTCCCTCCCTCATTCATACGTTGGCGAGATCACCGCCGTCTTGTGGATTGCTCACATTCCCCACCACAGCTGCCGGAGGCCCATGGGATACGACGGGGGCAGGCACCGACACCGGGGCGGCCGCACCGGCTGCATGGCACTGCCCCTTGACCCTCAGCCTCTCCACGCACTTGACGGCAAGTACGAAAACCAATAGTAGGACCATGGGGACGAAATTGACGGCTGAGGCGTAAAGCATGAAATAGGGGCCCACATTACTCCCACACGGCGCTGCGTGCATGTCGCCCGTGGCGGCGTCGAAGCACCAGTCGACGTTGGTCAGGTGTTTCCACACGAAGAAGGCAACAAAGGGAAACCCATAGCTTGCCGTGAACAAGACAGCGGCAATGACATTGAAGTGACGGCGCGGGATGCCGCAGCTACCGGCTGTCGGCCCAGGATCATAGTAACACTCCTGCGAGGCCAAGAAAAAGCACCCAAGGGATAACGAGCCGAGGGCGGGAGCGGTGACCATCGCGGCCAAGGCAACAATGTGCGCGATGTAGTAACGTCCCCATACAGCGGCCGCCTTGTCGTCGCCCCTCTCGATGCTCTTGTCGACAAGGAAGCCGTACGATGCATTACACTCGCAGGTGCTTCCCGTCTTCGAGTCGTCGCGCGTGTATATGCACTTATGGAATCGCACTCGTGTGTCGACGGTGTCGCGTCCGCACCGTCTGGCGTCGGCTCCATCCACCAGCTTCAGCCGGATGATGTAGCCGGCACCCGTGATGGCGTATATCTGCTCCATCTTCTCATAGAACTGCGGAGAGAGTGAGTGCGGGTGAGCGGCTCCATCTTGGTATGCGCGGGATCTCCGCCACTCGGGCATGCCGGCCATCGGGACTACCATGCCACAGATGAAAAACACCAACGCCCCGATGGCCGCCCACACCGCAACACAACTCCACAGCCACTCCCTCATCGCCTCTGCAACACACAGGAGTCACACAAACTGTCACGACAGCACACAGATCTCTTGTGTGTGTAATGGCGTGCCGCTCTGTGCTCGATGCTGAGTGCGTTGAAGAAAGAAAGCCGCTTCATAACGAAACGCAGCTCATCCCTGCGAACACACACACAGACACAAAAGATCATGGAGATTCAGCGTGTGTGTATGGCTGATACGTACATCGTCTCCCTCTGCCCTTCTCACCCTCGTCGCTTCTCCTTCCCCGATTGCGAGCTTTGGATCGTTCGGTGTCTTCTGCTTCCAAGGAAAATGTTCAGATACATAGCTTTTCTGTAGCTGATTCCGTTGCGGTTCTGCTCGGACACGTCAAGACAAGTCAAGACGTCGTTTGCCGTCCCGTTGCGTGTG